CACTTACAGCAACGTCTGGTGAAAACCAGCGCAAACCGTGGCCTTACCAGGATTGACGATCTGGTAGATTTTGCTATATGGTATGTTTGGTGGGTTGCGCAGGGAATCATTTACTATGAACTGCTTTTCTACAGCCAAACTCTTGATTCGGACCTGTACTCTCAACATTTGAACCGCATGAAGAAAGCAATCGTTCAAAAGCGGCCAGCTTTGGCCAATAGGTGAAGAATGCTAGTGACTCACCAGAAGCTCCGGGAGTTTGGTTGCAAGATTCCTATGCAACCACCTTATATTCCGGTTCTGGCACCAAGTGATTACTACCTGTTGCTATCTATGTATGGTGAATGATTTTGCTGCTGAAGAAATCGACTCAAGAGAAGCTTGTGAAAATCGACTGTCTCAGTTTTTCTTTGTCAATAGGGAAGAGGTTTTAAATGAAAGTGGCATTATGAAATGAACTTCGAAACGGTTTCGAACAAAACAGTGCTTACTTGACCAAAATCGTATTCAAACTTTCAATTTAAAGCAAAAATAATGGAACTAAAAGAAATATCTACAATGGTCTGTCGAATATAGCTATTATTATTGCTACTCCATTGAATTGGCAGTGGAATAGTAATGAAAAATGCTTTGTAGTTCTATTGTTTCTCCAAAAAAGTTTCGAATTATTGTAAATTTTTGTTAGAATTATAAAAAAATATATAATGGATGTTGCACTTGTAAAACCAGTTCAAATTATTAAAAATGTAGCAAACACTGTAAGAAAAACGTCACATATTTTACATCTGAATAAAGTTTTCCTAAATAAATTATAAACATATATACATAAACATTTTTTTTATTATTTTACATAATTGCAAAATTTTGAATTACTACTCCACATTTTCCCTTTTGTTAGAGGTAATGACATGAATGACTTATGGCCCACTCGACTACATTGTTGTTATGTATTTTTGATGTTACGCCTCACTAACATAAGTATGGTACATAGTAAATATTGTAGTTTTCGCGATAGAGATATGTGAATGGCAGCGAATATCTTACAGAAATAACTTTATGTCACACTATTTATATTTAGTCGTTACTACGCCAGTTAACTAAACAAAGTTACTGCGTACGAATTATGTTGGACTTTGATTCGAAAAGCGACGAGGAAAGATATTAGTGACTAGGGTTATTACTTGCCCGTAGCTTGCATACCCATTTGTAGTCTGTATATACAAGTACATATGTATACACCTAAGTTGCTATAGTTGTGGCAAATGAAGCAATCAGACATACAACACTTAATATAATGAAATTTGAGCGATTTACTCGGCGTGAGTGCGTTTAGATGAAGAAATATTTAAGCTGAAATTTAGCCACATATCTGTGTGTCTACTATAAGATGAGCAGCAATGAGGAAAATCTTATGAGGGAAATCTCACAGTAATTCAACGAGGCGATATAGATATACACACATACGAGTACATATGCTTGATATGTTGTACTTAAATGTGTTTGACAGCTAATGTTATTTATAATGTAGACAATTTTGCAAAAATAGGTCAAATGGACACAGGAAATATTATAGTAATAAATATTTGCGCTCTTTAAAATGTGTTTTTATTTAATTCTTAACATAGGACGTGGTATTTATAGTAACCTTAGAGTTATTATTGGCAAAAGGAAACTATAAATGTTATACAGTGATGGTCTTATGATGAGAAATGTCTTAGTTACTTCTGTTTCTGCTTATATACGTCAAAATTTTCTTTCACCAAATATAATACTATAACTTAGATATAGTTGTAAAAAGTAAGTATGGTATAAAAATCGAAAATACCAGTGAAATATTGAAGAAAACTCACTGAACATTATAGAAAATCTAAACCAGCATGCTCTCATAATTAGGACAATAATAATTATGTCATGAATCTCCAAAATATCATTAAAATTATTTAATATTTTAGTGAGTAACTATTACTTTTGACAATATGAGCCAGTCTTCTTCTCTACAAACTTTCAACTAAATTATGGCACGTTTGCACAGATATGTATGTACTTGCAATTTTGTTGCAACCATTGAACCGAGTCTTAATTTGCAAATAAGTTTTCAATTGTATATAATATATAACATTTATCTAATTTTAGTAGGTTTTAACCCATTATCAGATTGGAAAAGGTAAATTGCCGGCATATTTTCAAAAGAATACGGGTACATTAAATTAAACCTCGGTTCGGAATTATGGTTTTTTCGGTTTCGGTTTATTTTTGGAGCAACATTAGCTAGATTGTTGAACAATTTCGTACGTCTCATCGCCAGTAATGATGTGTTTGATGAATGTAGGGTCCTCAGCTACATTGTCGAGATTCAGGTTTTTCTGGTACGAGTCACCGCTTCATACCCAAAACATGATGAGTTGATCCACAAGAGATCTTGAAATCCTCTGCTAACTCTCGAATGCCAACACGCCGATTTTTAAGCAATGTTTCTTTAACTTTAATGAAGTTATCGTCATTTACAGCGGTGGATGGACGACTCACATGAGGCAAGTTTTCGTTGGCTTCGCGACCTTCCCAAAAACACTTCTGCAACATTTTCAACGATTCCGTAGCCGTGATTCCATTAGAAACATAAAATTTCTTTCCCTGCACATAGTTTCTAATTAAAAGACCACCACTGTATATACATATGTATAGTATATGTATGTTTTTAACCCAAAATATTGTCTGCTGCCAAATCTTGAATCTTACCAAGAAGCAATAATCCATATAATTTTCCATAATCACGGCAATTGATAGGGTGGTGTGTTTGGGAAAACCCTACTAAACTATTTTGCCGTGATTAAATGAAAATAATGGATTTATAAACGAGTAATCTAACTAAAAAGCAATATAAAGTTATTTATTATAGTATTTCACTTAATAATAATAAAACACATATTATTAATTTTAGCGATGTTTAAAAAATGCCATATAATGTATGTACACATGAACAATGTATGATCATACATATGTATGAATATTAATCTACAACAGAACTGTTAATGATAACAGCAATGAATGAGTGTTCGGCGTTTTGACGTAATCATGTGCGAAAAATGCTTTGACAAGACTATATACATATATATATATATAAGTACATATGTATGTATGTGCATATATTTATCGAAGCGATCGGTTTAAACGCAAAATTGTGTGGAAGCCAAAGAACAAATTAAAGGTGGCCCACCTTTGCAATATAGATAACTATATGGCGTTCGGCCACACAACGAACACATTTATTTATCATTACCGCGAACTTTATTGGGTATATATCCAAACACACACATGCACATTCATAGTTCATGTTCGTAGTCACCTATTCCCAAAAAAAAAATAAATAAAAAAAATTAACTAAAAAACAACAAGAAAAATAAACTTAAAAAGCTAGCGAAGAGCTAAAATAAAAATATTAACGCGTTCAACAGGCGAATTGAATTGAAAAGAAAATTGGCACAGTATAGCATACCTATGTATGTATGTATATATGTCCATGTATAATTGCAATGAAGCGAAGAAGGAAGACGGAGGTTGACGTGTTCAATAATAAGCCAGATAAGCGAAAGGTCAAAAAGCAAAAAACTAATAAAAAACAATATAGAAAAAAATATTAAATAAATAAAAATAAATAAATAAATAAAAATTAATAAATAAATAAAAATAAATAAATAAATAAAAATAAAGAAAAAAAATTTAAATAAAAAAGAGTAAAAATTGTAAATAAAATTTATAAATGATATTTTTATGTCTGTACGTTTTTGTAAAACACATGTACACAACAGCGGCGTAAATCGTTTCAACTGAAAACTAATGCGTCGATAATTGTGAACTTTGGTGCCGCTTTGTATTTCTGAAGTAGTCCAAGTACGAGTAATGGGTTGTTAACAAAACACGTGCTTTTCGCCTAATGAACTTCATACACATATGTATGTATGCATATAATATATGTGCAGGTGTATTTACAGACGTGTAAATAGCGGCGTCAATCTATTTGCAATGCTCTTAACAACAAAACGCATACAATAGTCATATTTATGTATAACGGAAATGGAATTAACAAGGATGATAATTGTTATTTGCATAAATATGTACTTAAGCAAATTGAATAAGTTCTATATGATTACATGGCATATTTCTAAATTTCTAATTACTAATATAAACACTTATAATTACTGCAATAAGAATAACAAGCACCGTTAATATTATATTATACTACGACTACCAATGGGACAGAACGCAGACCAACAAAGTCGCTCGTCTTAAGATTTTAAGAAAGTAAACAAATAGACGAAGAACAAGTGGCATGGCACCTTCATTCATGCCTACATTCATATGTATGTCATGTATTACATATGTACATATATAAATACTATACATATTTACTCGTATTTGTGTAGGCAGACTTCTGAATGGCATTAAAGCATATGGTGACATAAATACATACATACAAACAAACGAAAAATCAAGTCAATTAGAAAAGTACACAAACGGCAAATTTAATAGCGTTAGTGAAGAAATTGTATGTATTTATATGCATACTTAACTATGTATGAATATTTAAGTGGCTTTTGTTTATCAATTAATATTGAATCCATTAAAACAAAATTAAAGTCGAAACAAACAAGTACGAAGCCAAGTAAAGAGTTGTAAGTTAATACAAGAAAATACCTAAATCGACGACAAAATGTTAATAAAACTTTTAATTATATATTTTTTGTGGAAATATTTAAAATATTATGCATATTGAACTGAAAGTTAATATGTTTAAGTACTGAAGTAACTGAAATATCGAACCAAAACTAGGCTTGCAAATAATACGTTAAGAAGACAATTAATTTAAAAAAAAATAAAGTCCTGGTTGTAAAAGATTTGACAGTCATACTAATGAAATCAGCTGTCAACTCGTATAGCTTACACATACACACAAGTATATGCGTACATAATTTAAATTTAAATTTCCAATCTTCATCACTTACACTTACCGGTTTCTTAGCCGCCAAAGGTTTACTAATTAAATTCAAATGTGGCTCGAATTCTTCGCCGAACTTTTCTATCAGACTATTCTCGGCAGCCTCTTGGGGGCATTCCTCTTTTTGCACCAGATCCCAAACATCTTCTGGCAAATAGAAACTTAGCGCCAAACCCACGAGTATGCCGAATACGAAGTAGTGATTTCGGCTAAGCGCTGATCTACGCATGATCAGTTTTGTAAAATTTTAAAATATTAAAATCCAATTGGCACGACAGTGTGCTGCAGTCAAACAGCTGATTGAAGGTGAACAGGGCAAAACGGTGGACTCTCAGGAATAAGCAAAAACAGCAATTTCAAATTACAAACAGCTACCTAACTGTAACTGTTTAAGGTGTCAAACGTTGGGAGTAAACATCATCTTGACGAGGAACAATTAAAGCCTGCACTGTAGGTACTAGGTATGTAGTAATTATTTTTATTTTTTGCTGTTGTTATTGGAGATGAGCTGCTTTTGCTGGCAGCAAAGTGTGCGCTATCACTCTTGTATCTGCTGCTTGGTGAGCGCCAGCGCAAGATGTTGATCTGGCAATGAAGCTTGCCACTTGCTCCACGCGTTGCACCGCACGTACGCACACATGCATATAATTATCACGCTGTAACACAAACACACGCGCAAATGGTGAACCACGCACGCAACAGGCGAAGAAGCACTCAAACCGGCAGACGCAAACCGATTGGCCAAACAGCAGACAAAAACAAGATACACATTAAACAGACAATTGGATGCGCCACCAAAAGATATTTTGCCGATTCTTTTTCTGTCACGCCACTCTTTAAACACTTTTTATTTTGCAAAATCGTAAATTATTATTTTTTTAAGGTCACTATTTACATGTTAATTGATTTATCTTTTAAATATTTTCTTTTTAATTTTTGGCACAAGCATACTCTTCACTAATCGGTGGTGCTCGATAAATCACGTTTTACCGGTGTTTTGCCGACATATTCCATTCATATTTCACAACACACTTTATTTCATTCAATGGCAAGCTTAGAGCAACTGATTAAATTAATTTAAAAATCAGCATTAATTAACAGCATACAACGCAACAACAACAAAAGAGCACGGCAAATAATAATCAAAAATTTAATGCGAAAGAAATCGCGACATGCCGCTCGGAAAACACTACCGCACTCCACAACAGAATTAATAAATCTATTCACCAGCGAGGTGAATAACACAACACTGTTGTTGTTTTTTCTTATTTTTCATTTGGTAAATGCTTCAAGCATGTTCAAGCAAGCAAGATTTAGCGACATCCGACGGAGTGGGCTAATGTTAATGATTTGTTGGGAAATTGGACAACGATCTTCATTCGGTAATTTTACGAACACAATTGGCGTTTAAATCAGCAATATTATACGGAGATAGCAGCGCATATTTATTCATAAAAATAGAAAGCTAAATTCGTAAGACAACAATTAATATTATCTCCTTAACAAAAATATAAATATGTTCGCAAATAGTTAATTTTTTGTTAGGAAATTCTAAGAGGAAATGTACTCTTCGCTTGTCAAGTCAAGACAGCAACACCCACAGTGGCGACACCTGACATGCGTTACACAGCGAAAGGAGAGCGACATCTTGAGTGGCCTTTCGTTGTAAAATCAACTTGGCAGCACCGAGGAGAGCTAGTCATGTATTAGCAGAGAACGAAAAATATTAGTTTTTCTTTCACATCATTTTGTCGCGGACGGGGAAAATTTTTGGTCGCAGTGAAATTGATAGTTTTTTGTTTTGTGCAATTCTAATTGGAAATTAACAAGAACTAAATAAAATCAACTAACAGTGTTGAATGTGAGTACATTAAGTTGGTCAAGTGTGTATTGGTGAATTGAATTTTGCAGGAAATGCAATGAAAATTTATCACCAGGCTCCAGAAAAATTAGCAGAAAGTTGAAGTTCGAAAAACGCAACGGTGAACGAGAAGAAGCACACAAAAGTTACCTATTAGGAAAGGAGATTAGTTTTTCCTTTACTTAACTGTGGTGGTGTGAAGGGACATTTTCGAAAATTACCGCCCCCGCCCCCTTTAGTAGGGTGGTTGACTGGTGTGTAGCGACTGCGACTGAATGCTAACCAACGGTTGCTTGGTGGTTGCCGAATGAAATATGGGTTGCGTGGTAGCTCACATATACACACATGCATACATGCACACGTAAATATGTTTATGCGTCTGTAAGTAGGAGAACATCCCATAAGCTGCGCTAGGTGGGTCGTTAAAAGCAGAGTTAGTCAGTCAGGAATTTTTCAATGCTTCCCAATTTTGTGTGCGCATACCCAGTGAGCGCAAGGATTAAAATTTTACTCGCGCAATGCAGTGACCTGGATGTGGTTGTTAATATTGCGAGTGGGAGAAGAAGTACATATTGGTGTATGGCGATATGCGCACAAATTACCGTTGCTTTTATATTTGCTTTTCATATTCTTGTGTTGTTTTTGTTTTTTTTTCTTTTGCTACTTATTGCAGTGCTTGTTATTGTTTACGAGTACAAGCACGAACAACGTTTCATAGAAGAAAAATGAAGCAAGAAGCAAAAAATGTCTGGGCTGACCGCATAGGTACTACATAGTACCGATATTGAAATGAAAGTAAGGCAATACAAGCAGGTAACAGGTAATAATGTTTTAAGGCTACATTGTAGCAACATAATGGAAAACAGGGCACTGGTGTTGGAAAAAAAAATGTCAGAAATGTGTGCGTTTCGGCTGCGCGTTGTCAAATACACTATTATTACTGCTGCACAAATGATTTTCCATAGACTTTTTCATGTTCATATGTAAAAGTATGTGTGTGTGAGATATAAAATTTTAATTACAAATATTTCTGTTAAGCACCTATATGCATACATACAGATATGTACTCGTGCCTGAGTTTATTGTGGCGTTGAAAAAGTGGCTGCCACCCAAAGTAAACGAAAGTTGTGCGAAAAATGTCGGTGAAGTAATACTTTTATGGCCCCAAGTACCTACTTTAATACAAAAAAATATGTAGATATACATTTATTGCGCACACATACACAAACGCACATACTTATTTTCTAAATGTATGGCACTACATATGCGAGTATGTTACGAGTAACTGTGCTGAGAATTTGGCATGAATACAAATGTGCTGCTGCTGTTGTAGGCATTAGCGAACAGAATAAGCAAAGCGTATCGTAAAATAATTGAAGAAATTAACAAAACCACCAAAAATAAAAATATAATAAAGTAAAATTAGAAAACTACACTAAATACTTGTGAAATTTTTTTAAACAAAATACAAGAAAAATACAACAAAAAACGATAACAAATGAGAATTTGTTTCAACTTTGCTGCGTTGTGGCCGACGCTGTTGCTGCTACTACAACACGCTAAAAATAGCAGGAACATTAGAAAACCAAACACGGTTTGGCTCAAATTAATGGCGCTATATAGTAATTTTGCATTTAAAGAACAGAAGTAACGTGCTTTTTTAAATTCAAATGCTTTACAACGCCACATTCCGACATACGCGCTGCTTCCAGGTAAAAAGTGTGTATATGTATGCATATACATATCTACATAGCTATAAATAGTATTGAAAGCAGCAACAGCTATGCAAATATCGCAGTTATTTGCTAAGGTCTGACGTAAATATGTATGTGTGTGTATAGAAACGCTTATCGGCAGCTCTCAAGTCGCTATGATATCAAATAAATATCCACACGAATTTTCAAAACACATTTACATACATAAATGTATATACATATGTGTTTTGAATAAAATTTACGCTTTCGAAAGCAACAAGTTTGATAATTATGCTGCGCACTGATAATCATTTATGAAACACCGAAACCAGTTTATCAAATTAGCTTGGCATAAGTGCGTGTATTCTTATTAAACTTTAAAAACGTGTGGATTTCTGGTGTTTATTTTTTTTTTTAATATTATTCATTAACATTTCAACGCTAATACGTAAACATTTTGTCAAAATACTGAGTAGTGTGGTACACACGCACTTTTGTCTATTTACATATATACCATATTTTCAGAAAAAGTTTTTATTTGAGATACGTGGGGATAATTTGTGTATTTATTATATTCTGAAAGCAGATGAAAACGTTGGAGACCCTATCAAATATATACATATATATAAATGATCAGTGTGTCGAGCTGAGTCGATTTAGCCACATCCGTCTGCCTGTATATATGCGCACTACAAGTATTCCCTAATTTTTTGAGCTATTGATCTAAAATTTTGCGCATGTGCTTTTCTCTTCATGAAGTTGCACATATAGCTGCCATACAAACTAATCGCTCAAAATCAAGTACTTCACCAAATTTGGCATAAATTACTTTACAAGGCCACCCTACAATCAAGATATAAAGATCGTTTTATACATATGTATGCTATAAGATATGCACCTGTAAAGGGTATTATTGTTTCCGTAAGCCGAAGTTCACGTTTTTCTTATTTTTTTTTACCAAATTTACATAATTAAAATTTTTTCAAACAGAAAAATACAATAGGACGTGTTAATCTGGTAATTCTTTAGTTGTCTATCTCAGCAGTGTGGTAAATTTTGTTTCAAAACAGTTGGTTCAATATTATTGAATACTTATTTTTAAAAAATTTGTCTAAAATAATTTTGTAGCAAATGTATTTTTTCGCCACGAATCAAATGAACTATTTAGGTTACGACGCAAAACAAACAGCTGATTTAATGTTAAAAGTAACGAAAAAAGTATCAAGTTGGTCACACTGATACTTCGTTACACGGTAGAACGAAAATCTGTTAATTTTACAACAACAAAATGTATGTAAAAAACTACTGAATACCTCTAATATTTACCGCACATATTTGTTTTCTAAAATCACATGCAGGTAAATAACAAAAAACAAAAATACAAAAAAAATTAAAAAAAAAAGCAAAGCAAATTTATTTATTTAGTTAAATATAATTAGCTTAATTCGCACAACAAATAGTGTTATCTGATATTTTTATCGCAAACAATCTTCAAGTTAGTTTAAAAATATATATGAAAATTAACGTGCTCAGCGCAGATGAATCGCAAATAGAGCGTTTAGACACTATTTTGTTGCCTTTAGATTTTCATAAGTACGTTTAGTATTGATTTTTGCATAAATAAGCAACAGGCAAAAAGCCAAAAAGTGCAGAAATTTGATAAACACGTTAAAATACTTTAAATAATTAGTTAGCAAATATCAAAATTCGAAACAATTTTGACAAAGTTCTGCAAATTTGGCTTATTCCTTTGAATAAAGCAAAATAACCAGCGTTAAAGCTGACAAAATAGTTTTATTGGTGTGACCTTGCGTGTGCATGCGCAAATATGTAGAATATATGAAGAGTTGTACACATGGATCGTATTGGAAAATTGTTGGGTAAAACTTTTTATCTACAGCTGTTCTAATCAACAAGTTTTTGTTTAAAACTAAAAAAATTAAAATTTACAGTGCCGCTGGTACGTTTACCCGCTGCGCGTTGACGCTGTTGTCTCATTTCGAATTGTCTTACAACGCGCCAACAGCTTTTGTTATTATTTTTGTTTTTTAAATAAGTATGAAACAGTACGCGCGCACATAACAACAACCACCATGACACTATATGCAAGTGAGCACGCACACACACACACACACACACTTATATACATATGTGTTGTGTGTACCAGATATTTCGCCACAGTGTCGGCAGCACACAGAACGATGACCACCCAACTTCCCACTAACGTGTCAGCGTTAGTACGAATGAGCACAGCCAAACAAGTAGCTTACTATATTCGCATTAGTATAGGCACAAGGAATATAATATACTTTCTATGCATACAAATAGCAGCGGATGATGTACATACCACACACACATACATATGTATGTACATACAAGTGAGAGTACACAATGAAGCATGTAACAAACATAAATGCATGCATACATACATATGTATGTGTGTGGCTATCTATGCAAATGTGTGTGTGTGTATGTGTGTGCTTGCATGTCATCGTGCAACAGTAGAGCAACACTTTACTTCAAAAACGATAAAATTAGACAAAGTGTCTGCCTGCCAGCTAGCCTGCCTACCTACTACCTGCTGGCGACCGAACGCTAAGTCTCCCATGCGTACGCGTTTGTTTTTCCTGGCACAATGCTCGCCACCTTTTTGTTGCCACACCTGTCAACCCGCAAGTGTTTGCAAGTTTGCCGTTATTCGTGTTTTTTTTCACTTTTCCTTTATTTGCACTGCAGCACAGAGCGGGGCAGCGGCAGCAGCAACAAGCCGAAACTGTGCAACTGTAAAAGTTTTTCGCTTAAACAAAACGGACTGTGAAGTAATTAGAGAGATGTGCTTTCGGTCACCTACATATCCAAATGGTAGATTGGTACCAAAATAGACTTTGGTAGTTGTTGTTATTTTTTTCTTTAGAGACATAATTTTTAAAAAATACAAGAAATAATTAAGCGTAATTTTTATTTGAATATTGTTATTTAATTTTAACTTTCATATACTAAAAAGTAATGTAATTATAATTCAATGTAATAATTACTTTCACGATTTTCAGAAAATTTAACGTTTTTTCATATAAAAATAACGCATGTACATACATATGTATGTACTTTTGAAAATATTCGCCGATAATTTGAAATTGATCAGGCAAATAGTTTCAGAGATTTGAGCGTATTTGTAAGAATTTGTTAACTTAGTGTAGCCGGCTCCCAAAACCTTTAGCGCATTTTTTTCGAAATGCTGTTTTCAGTGTCGGTTAAAAAATTTTTTCCGAAACGGCCGTACCGTTCAACTTGAAATTTTCCCACAAT